ATAAAAGATGGCGACGATTACATTTCTCAAGCCAAAACAAAGGCGAATAGGAGGAAAATAAACTTCAGTCAGATTAGTTAATTTTTTTAGTATTCAATTTTTCGATAGGAATCGTTGTTTAATTGTGTAAATTTTTTTTAAATATACGATTTATAAAAATAATTAATAAATAAATTGCTAAAAAGCGGTGATTGTGAAAGTATTAGTCAATTTCATTGCATTTAAAAGTTCTAAGGCGTGGTTTACTTTTACTTGAGAATTGTAAAAACTGAAGTGCCACCTCTTGGTCTCTTTGTGCTTACAATGTTCTTAATCTGCCTGGAAAATATCCTGTCAAAATCTACAAATATGCTGCCAACATGTTAAGCAGTGTGTTTAAATTAATGTTAAAAGAGACTAACGTGATAAAATAGACTTAAAATTTGCATTAAATTGTGATTTTTATGTGCATGACAGTTTTATATTTAAAGCATTTTGGTCACATACTCTTAAATTTTTTTACAGATATTGAGTTCACACTTATGCTGGTATTCAGGAAGTCAATCTCATCAGAAGTCACTAAATTTTAAACTATCAAACTATTTAAACTATTTTTAGTGGCTGTCTGTATCAGTAAGTTCACTGAAAATGTGTGGTGAAATCAACAGAGACAGTCAACCGATAACATACAAGCATGCCATTTTGCTCGAGCCACTCCAACTGCCGCAATGGGAGGCTGAGCAGAGTGCCACTTCAGAGAACTGAGTTCACGTCCTCGGGAAGCCGATTTTTTTTAAATTTTGTTTTTATTTTGATTCTTTCTAACATTTCGATGTTAAAAAAATGTCTTTACATAGAATTGTTAGATGTTAGATACATGTTTATTTCCTAATGAAATTGTTGTTAAACAATTTTTCACCATTTTAAATAAAGTAGAAAGTAGTTATGTTTCTTTTATTGAGACCAAAGACGTCAGGCAACTTCCTGAATACCAAACAGTCGCAAAATCGATGTTCATGCAGTGACTAGTAACTGCTTACTGAATACCAGGGTTAGAAAGCTTGTTTAAAAAATTATTTAACTTTAATTTATGTTACCTAGTTTTTTATTTGATTTCATTAAAATATTTACTTTTTTGTTTGTTTTGTGTTTTCATATGCATGTTTTTTGATTATATCTTTATTTTATACTATTATGTTTTTATTTTTTGATACAACCCAGCAAACATTTGGAGTCATAAATGAGTCTTAAAGGAGTCCTATTTCGGAGCATTTACGCTCATAATGAGCTCATTTAAGAGTCCGGAATGAGGGTGTTTCCCTTCCTGCAAAGGTCGACATATATGAGCTTAAATTCATACATCAAATGAGCGTCAATATGAGCCATATTTGACTCTTACTGTTATTATATACGGCTCATTTCGGACTCTTACTCAAGACTCTTTTATGACTCTTATTTGCCTCATAAACGACTCTTTTAGGATTCTTTTTAGACTCTTTTATGACACACATTGGCCTCATATGCATCTCATTTCGGACTCTTACTCTGGACTCTTTTATGCCTCTTATTGCAACTTTACCTAACTTTGCAAATTTATTACAACTTTACCTAATTAAAAGCTCTAAAAAAGTTATTTTCAATAAACAGCTTTATTATCTACATATGTGTTTGCTGTGTGTTGTATAATACTATATGTACGCAGTATACTAACACGTTGCTATAAATGAATTTATAGTTTGATTTGTTTTGCTTTATAGTTAACACCATGATACAATAATTTTTAGAAGGTAGTTTCACTTCTTCTTCTTATCCGCCATCTTAGCTATCTGACACAAAACGTGATTCGTATTTTTTGTGTTACCAATTTATTTAAAAAAAATACACCTTTTTGGCGTTGGAAAAAAATAAAACTAAGCAAAGCCAAACATATCACTTCAAAATTATTAAAAAATATTCATAATAAAATAAAATTAAATAAGAAATGAGCTGCTGCTTCCGGGGATGTTTCAACACGCGGAATAGCTGTAGGAATATAGCTGTAAAACATTTCAAATTTCCTGTTGTGCCGTATTTATGGGAAAAGTGGATGAAGGCTTGCGGATTAAGCGAGCAGCAATTGCCAAGGGCACCGTTTGTGTGTTCCAATCATTTTTGAAGTACAGATTTGATTGCGCGGAACGGTCGTGCACTGCTAAGCCGAGGTGCCATCCCCGGAGCCGAAGTGTAAGTCAATAAAAAACAAACAAAATTTGAATGTTGAAAGTATGTATGTACATATTTCATAACTTTTGCAGCGATCAGCAAGCAAGCGGCATGGACGATGACAATAAATATTGTATAGACGACGCCAGCGAATCCCCTTTCGTTGGGATATCTAGAAAAAGAGCCAGGAAAGGATACGTCAGCGTTTCAACGCAAACTGAGTAAGTTTTTTTATGGCGATACCAACGAACGTGTACGTGTAATGTATTAAACACGGTAACACACTATACGTAACGGCTCTCAGAAGCGGTGAAGTAAATACAGCATGGCTTTCAGCGACGATGAAATGATTGGTTATGGCAATCGATGCATTCAGACGGAAATCTAAGGAGACTTGTACCGCGGTTCTCGTAGTCGCATTACATTAAAAGGGGCTGGTAAGGACGGTAGTGTCAGCTTAAGCCGTGAAGGCCGGAGGATGTCGGCAGGGAAGAGGGGTCAAAGCTTAAGGAGGAACCTTGTGTTCTAACAGCTTAACCAGGAAGAGGACGTTTAACATACTTTAGGTAAAGTTAAAAACCAATAATTTTTAACAAAAAGAGAGAAGTGTGATAAATAGAATTAATTATTGAATTAATTAAGCTTGTTCGTTATGTTATGTTGTTATGTTACGTATACTGCTTGTATTTATAATAATAAAAAATAAATTTGAAAAATCCTCAAAAAGAGATATATTGTACTCTTGCATTTTCGTTTATATGATTTTTATTGATGCGATTAGCAGTGGCAAGTATGTATTAAATATATATTAAAAATAAAGTGATCAGTTATAAAATATATAAATGTTTACATGAGTAAAAAAAATACCCAAAACAATAAGTTGAAATATCCAAGTTCAATATCTTAACAGTGGCATCATCGCGTGTTTGTCACAGACACGGTTTATGTCAAAAATTTTCAAGTGAAACTACCTTCTAAAAATTATTGTATCATGGTTAACACGGTCCCGTGCAGTTTGAAACCATTTTGTTGTAAATTTCTTAAAATCCGCTTCGTTAGAAAATTTTCTGCAATAGGCTTCTATAAAGATATAATACAAAATACCTAAATTAAAACAATAAAACATCATTTCTGAAGAGAAATACCTTTAAACGCAGCAGTTATGGCTAAATTTTAAAGCGAAATTTTATTATCAACATTTTTCCATGTTGTTTGGCAAGCAACTTCATCGATGACTAAACGTTTCCAAACAGCTCTCACAAATTTTCCGCACTCGGGGATGCCAATCAAAAAGATTTCGGTTCAGAAAAGTCTAATTTCATAGGCCTATGTTGACAAAAAATTTATAACAAAATTTTCGATACAAATTGCAAAGATTTAATGTTTTTTTTATTTCCACAAAGTGCCGGCTCATGATTTGGTTCATATATG